TCACACTTTAAGAACCTGAAAATGCTAAGTGTCGCCCAAACTTATTCTCTGCCTAATAATACCTTAAATGTTCCACAATCTTCCGCCTCAATGCAACTGAGTCCTATTACAAGAGCACTTATGGACTTCAATCAAGCCTCCCCCACTCTTACCACTTCCTCCCTGCCGGATGGTGGTGCAGCTGATGAACACCACATATCTTCAGATCACTCGACAACTGTACCAACAGTTGCCCCGGCGACGGCCCTGGTTTCTCTTCCTCTGCGTTTACCTACTGGACTGCATCCTGGCTCTGTTGCCAACGAAGACCAGGCATCTACGTCGCAAGCCGCGGCACCAACAGACGCTTTGTTGGCCACCGCCCGGTCGTCTGCTATTTCCGATAATATGGACGTAGCCAATTCTACTTGTACCACCAATGCCGCGATAGCCACACATTCGGCGCCTGTAAGAATCAACTGTTGATCAATCATATCTGGTGTCAGAGTATTCACTCCACCCTCGGCAATAACGACCATCTTATTGTTATGGGCGACTTTAACCTACCTTCCATATAATGAATGTCATCACCTGACTCAAATGTTCTTGTTCCCTCTTTACCTCACGAGTTGGAACACGGCCTAATCGACCTCTCATTGGGACAATTGAACTCTATTCAGAACTCCTCGAATAAAATCTTGGACCTTATTTTTGCGTCTGAGTTCGCCAATGCCTACGTTTCAAGAATTATCACCCTACACTTAAGGTCATTCTGGAAGCCTCGGCTCCTTTATTACCAGGTCCTGAAATCGAACCAGCATCTTTTCGCTGCTTTAGAAAGGCCAACTTTACTGATATGAATCTTTATTTATCCGAAGTAGATTGGTCTTTTATGGACTTAAACGAAGAACCTCTTAACATTGTTAAACAGTTCTACGGCATTCTCGGCACGGTTTTCGACTTGTATGTGCCTTCATTCCCCTCACCTGATGTTTCTTATAAGCCTCCTTGGTTCACTCGTAGACTCTCTTACTTAAAAAACTGTAAGTCCAGACTTTTTAAGAAATTTAAGAGGACAGGGATGCAAGTAGACTATTCGAGATACCTTACAGTGCGATCTGAATTCATAACTCACAATTCCCAATGCTACAAGAATTACCTTGATCGTTGCAGAACTGACTTTCATGATAACCCCAAACAGTTCTATGCATTTGTTAACTCCAAACGCAAGTCTCAACAATTTCCATGCTGCCTTCATCTGGATTCCGTTTCTGCTGTTAATGATGCCGATATTGCCAATTTATTTGCAAATTTTTTCCAGTCCACGTATTCATCTACAAGCTACGATAATACCTTAGCGTATCCCTTTTCACTTCCGCACTCTAATGGTATGTTTATGCCTATAATCAGCGTAGATGATGTTTTTCAAAATCTGCAAAGAATCAAGTCATTCTTCTCTTCTGGTCCCGATCTTGTACCAAGTTGCGTTTTAAAATATTGTGCTAGTGCATTGTGTGGGCCACTGTCAAAACTATTTTAGTTATCACTGCAGCACTCATTTTTTCCAGAAGTTTGGAAGGAATCTTTTATAATTCCGCTTCATAAAAAGGGAAGTAAATCGGACATTAATAGCTACCGAAGGATTGCAAAACTCAGTGCTATTTCCAAACTCTTCGAACAGTTAATTACTGCTCAGCTTCAGCACCAGTGTAGCTCAATAATGTCCCCAACACAGCACGGCTTTATGAAACGTAGATCAAAAACCAACACCCAAACTGATGTAATCTTTACAGACTTCAATAAGGCTTTCGATTCGGTGAACCATCAGTTACTGTTAAAAAAACTTACGCTTTTGGGATTCCCGATCTCGTTGACGAAGTGGATTTCTTCATACTTATTGAACCGGACGCAGAGAGTATTAATTAAAAATTCGATCTCAAACCTTGTCCATGTGACTTCTGGCGTTCCTCAAGGGTGTCACCTTGGAGCACTTCTGATTGGAATCTTTATAAATGACTTGCCTCAAGTAATTCTCTCTTCCCACGTGATAATGTACGCCGATGACGTAAAACTTTGCATGCCCTTACCAAACGTTGATTCTCACGTACTCCTGCAAGCGGACTTATGCAATCTGCAATCATGGTGCCTCCAGAACCTGCTGTTCTTAAATAATTCTAAATGTAGCTTCATGTCTTTTTATCGGAAGAGGCTTTTCCTCTTTAATTATTCCATCGGGATGAACGATCTTGAACGCATTAATTCCGTAACAGATCTTGGAGTTTTATTTAGCCACAACCTAAACTTTACCAATCACATCGGCATCATTGTTAGTAAAGCAAAAGGGGTTTTTGCGTTTGTAATGCGCTGGTCTAAAGAATTTGAGGATGCCTACACCACAAAGCACCTTTACATTTCTCTTGTGCGACCTATTCTTGAATACTGCTCGTGCGTATGGTCACCTCAATATGCTAAATATCAGGACCTAATCGAATCGGTACAGAAACAGTTCCTTTTGTTTGCTTTACGTGGGTTAAACTGGGAACCACAACGCCACCTGCCATCCTACGTCGATAGATTGCGTCTTCTGAACCTGCCCTCGCTAATGGATCGTCGGACCTGCCAGGGAGTGATGTTCCTCCACAAGTTGATCACTGGACTTATAAATTCTAGCTTCTTACTCGGCCAAATACGGTTTTCGATCCCCGTAAGAGCATCCCGCTACTTTCGGCCTATTGCTCTTGAAATTTGCAAATCGAATTTTGAAGCGCACGATCCTTTTCGAGTTTTGTGTACTCAATATAATGAATTGTATTTTTTGTTGTTTGTTGAATGTTCCGCGGACTTTAATGTAAGAAATATTTTTAATCACCTATCCTTGCCTCTGCCCACTTGATGTGAGTCGGAGCAAATCGGTAAAAAAAACTCCTTTACTCGGGGGGAGGTAGAAGTTAAGTTTATATTGGCAGATATTTGCTAATTTTTGGAAATAAATAAATAACGAACTTACGTGTACTTATGTACGCAGATGACGTTAAATTGTGCCTGCAATTTAATGATCCCGCAAAAAGTTTACCTTTACATTCCGATCTCCGATCTAAACTTAAATTTTCTGATCACATTACTACCATGGTAAATAAAGCCAGGGGCGTGGTTGTATCAATCAAAAGGTGGTCGAAGGAATTCGATGTTCCCTATGTCATGAAGACCTTGTTTATTTCATTAGTCCGACCAATTCTTGACCAGAGTGCATTAACGTCCAGATAAGGATCCGATAAGAGTGAGAGAGTAGCCCTACTTGCTGCGACGATTTTTCATAGGCCGAGGCCTTGTTAAAAAAAATCGATATTTAAAAAACTAAAAATGGATCCAACATTTTACAAAAACCGATTGTAACTTACAATTAGGCGCATATATTAAGATATAAAAAAAAACATTTTTTGTGGTGGCAATGGTAAACATTTTTTTTTAAATCCCAATTTGTTTTTTTTTAAGAAATTAAAAACTTTTTTTTTTAATTCAGGGGTGTCAAAGAAACGGGGACGGTTGGTTTGGAAACCAACCCATCAACCCATCGCCGTAGGTGTCACAGAATCTGTAGATTTTTCTAGGAGTTTTTATACCCGTATATTGTATTCGTGCAAAAGTATGTAACAGGGAGAAGGAAGCGTTTCCGACACTATAAAGTATATATATTCTTGATCAGGGTCACTAGCCGAGTCGATATAGCCATGTCCGTCTGTCCGTCTCTCCGTCTGTCTGTCCGTATGAACGCTGAGATCTCGAAAACTACAAAAGCTAGAAGATTGAGATTTTCCACACATATTCTTGGGCTTCTTACGCAGCGCAAGTGTATTTCAGCCGAGCGCCATGCCCCCTCTAACGCCCACAATCGTCCACTAACGATTTTAAAATGTGTCTGGCGCCTTAAACTTAAACAAGAAAGGAAGCTAGCTTCGGCCAGCCGAAGCTTATATACCCTTGCAGATCATTCCAAATAAGGATTTTCTATTGACTTACAAATTGCAAAAAATTTAAATTTCCTATTACTTTGACATTATTTTTTCTATCTATAAGAAATATTAAAAGAAATCATATCCTAGAATAGAAGAGAATACCATCAAAATGAACGGAGTTATAATTTGTTTCAAATTAATTTCCCATTAATTTGTCGATCTTTCCTATGGAAGCTATATGATATAGTCGTCCAATTTAAAATTGAAATTCGAAAATATCTAAAAAGAGTCATATCCTAGAGTAGAAGAGAATACAATAAAACCCAAAGAAGTTAAAATTTATTTCCTATTACTTTCCCATTAATTTTTCGATCTTTCCTATGGCAGCTATTTGATATAGTCGTCCGATTTTTTAAAATATTTTATTAAAAATTAGGAAAAAATTAAAAAAATAAAAAAAAATCCAAGCTAGAATTTTTTGTTTTTTTTTCCGATCATTTCTATGGCAGGTATAAGATATAGTTGTCCGATCCGGTCGTTTCCGACTTATATACTAACTACAATAGAAAGAAGACTTTTGGGAAAGTTTCAAGCCGATAGCTTCAAAACTGGGTGACTAGTTTGCGTTGAAACAGACGGACAGACGGTCTAGTGATGCTGATCAAGAATATATATACTTTATGGGGTCGGAAACGTCTCCTTCACTGCGTTGCAAACTTCTGACTGAAATCATAAATAATTTTTTTTCGGCCAAATCCTGAACACGTGATTACTTATTTTCCGAATAGAACATGTAAAAAAAAAAGTTTCAGGCAAATCAAAAATTCGAAATTTTTTTTTGGACAAATCTGATTCATTTGTAAAAGATCGACCCATATATAGGCCACATAATTACAAACAATATAATATATAGCGCGGAACCTTTAGGTGATGGAACATAAGTTTGTATGAAACCTTAACTCAGAAGCACCCAAATATCGTGGAAAACTAGAAATGGTTCGTGGAATTATCACTAAGTTCAATTTTGTGTTCCTGTGTATTTAGTTCGAACCTCTTTTATTTTCACAGCATGCCATGAACTGCATAACGGCTACCGTGCAAAATTTCTGACGATTGTGTACTGGATAGCAGCGACCTATGTCTTGGCTGATGTATATTCGGCTCAATTGACCAGCCAGTTTGCTAGACCCGCCCGGGAGACACCTATCAACACGCTTCAGCAACTGCAGCAAGCCATGATCCGCGACGGATATCGGCTTTATGTCGAGAAGGAAAGCAACTCTTTGGAGATGCTGGAGAATGGGACTGAACTTTTTAGGCAGCTTTACGCCCTGATGCGCCAGCAACAGTCCGATGGCCAACAGAGATTTTTTATCGACTCGGTAGAAGCTGGCATCCAGCTGATCGCTAAGGGCAGCGAACACAAAGTAGTGCTTGGAGGTCGTGAAACTCTTTACTTTAACATTCAGCAATATGGAGCACATAACTTTCAGCTTAGTCAAAAACTCTACACTCGGTACTCGGCGGTTGCTGTACAAAACGGTTGTCCTTTCCTTGACAGCCTGAACAATGTGTAAGTATATAACAAAGATATATAAGTGTTATATTTGCTAAGAAGTAAGCTCAGTCGTTTTAATTTAATTCCCGTTACTCATAAAGTAATTGGAAAGTTGTAAATGTTTTCAGTGTTTCTTCTTTTATAACTAAACACTGCATTATTTGTTAAAAAATATTTTTAAACATTCGGAGTAGTTAGTTTTACCTGTTACTCGTAGAGTAAAAGGATATATTGTATTCGTGCAAAAATATGGAAGAGAAGGAAGCGTTTCCGACCCTATAAAGTATATATTCTTGATCAGGGTCACTAGCCGAGTCGATATAGCCATGTCTGTCTGTCCGTCTGTTTGTCAGTTTGTCTGTCTGTCCGTCTGTATGAACGCTGAGATCTCGGAAACTACAAAAGCTAGAAAGTTGGGATTACCCACACATATTCTTGGGCCTCCTACTCAGCGAAAGTTAATTTCAGCCGAGCGCCACGCCCCTCTAACGCCCACAATCGCACACAACCGATTTTAAAATATGTCTAGGGCCCACATTTTTTAAGATTTCGGAGAAATCTTTGTCTTTGGAATTCAACCGCAAAGTTTAAAATACCAAAATTCTGACGATTTCTCTGATGGAAAAACAATTCTAAAAATTTAATTTTAAATGGAACTCATTTTTATACCCGTTACTGGTAGAGTAAAGGGTCTATTGCATTCGTGCAGAAGTATGTAACAGAAGTATGTAACTCTTCGCTCTTTCAGTGAATGGTCGTGTTTTTGTCTTGCGCTCCGAATTTTTGTTCTTTTTGTCCATAAACCATCGGGGGTTAATTCAAATTTTCTTACATTGATATAGCTTTTTATGTCCATAACAACAACCGTTCGCTTCGTGAGTGCATAGTGATTGTTTTGTGTTTAAATTAAAAAAATTAGTTGGCACGCCAGTCTCTGTGCAGTGTTTGTTGTTATTGTTTTATCTAATTGTATTCTCCCTTTCTACCAAACGCTGTTTGGAGCGGTAAGAATCTATACGGTAGTTACCAGCTCTCCCGCACTCTCACATAAAAAGTTGTTGTTGGCTAAAACTAACGCACTATGGAGAATTTGAACACTTTTTTTGGCCAAAACCCATTTTTTTAAAGTCGTTAAACTAAAAATGTTTTTTCTAGAATACTTTAACAGAAGACTAATCTTCAATGTTAGGTTTCTGGAATTTCAATAGAGGCCGCCTCTGCTAACTTACAGCTGTTAGATCAGCTGCTGTATGTTGCATTTTCACGCCTCAGAAATTTGACGCAATGCTGAGACTATTTAATTGTTTAAGAGTCTTAAAGCAATTTAAGTGGATTTTTTAAAATTAATTAAAAGGATGGTAGTGTGCACTAAGTATTTGTGTGAATAAACAATAAACAATAAATTAATCGTGGTTTTCTTGTAATCGATTATTTTTGTGTCCGGTCTAACACGAATATTTAAAAAAAAAAACATTTTTTAAATAGAGATACAAAGCGAGTCCAGCGGAGTCCATCCATCAAACCTTTGGGAATTAAAGAGTAAGGAAATCTCTTTAAAATGAATGTAGTCAGAAAATACACTTTTTACGATTCTTCGAGAAATTTAGTTTTTTAGATCATAACCTCAAATTTTGCAAATGTCCCTTTGGGATGAAAAGCCTTTTTTTTGGCATAAAGTCCCAAATTATTTTGTGATATTTTTGGTTTTTCTTTTTTTTATCCGTTAAAGAAATGTTCAACTATCATAAAACTATTTTTCAAATATTGTTGTGACCATCCCTGGCTTTTTGACAGCTCTCTAAAGTCAGCTGTTCGAGTTAAGTTGCGTGCGCCTAAATTTTTCTACGAAGTGTCACAAAAGTTTAATTATTTATTCTATTGCAAATTACGCGCATTCTTTTCGGCTAAATTATGGAAAATCTTCGTCAAGGTATGTAAAATATTGCTTAGAGGGCTTACTCTAGAAATGCTTTTGTTTTGTGCTGTTTTTAATTGTTTTATTGAACCATGTTTTGTGTAGAAGTTAACCTATAAATATTTGTGTTTCGTGGAGTAGAACTAGCAAGTGTACGCAGGATTGCGAAAAGTGCAAATGTGGTAATATGTGTTATTGTGTATATGATTAAATGGAGTTAATAACTATTGCGCATACTTGCGCCATTTCGTAATATTTAAATAGATTCGGAACAACTCGACATTAGTAGGGGCGAACTGCTGGAAGTGTAGCTGAAGAACAATCGCAGCTATGTCGATACCGTTCACTGGAAGTGCGAAAGGTTCAAAAATAAAAATAGACTGTTTGAAAATACGCTGATTGGCATCAAGAAGACATTTAAAGCTTTTGTTTCTCATGTTAGTAAGCTGCTAAAGAAACACGATAGGCATGTTAAATGCTTCAAAAATGCAAATGCAAGCTGGCTTGCATCAGAAATATAATTTTCTGTAAAAAACAAGACTGACGGCCCCATTTAAATTACGAGAATGGTGGATCGCGTTTGAAAAGAAAGATGGCTTCAGATCTCACGAAAGAAAATCCTACAAGTCTTCTAATGCGCTTTTAGAGGCACCCCATGTTGATGCAGTAATTGATAACCCGCATTTCGAGTTCGAACAAAATTTGGACGTCGAGTTAAATACAGATGATGAGTAAAATAAAACAAGAAGAGAAGCTACCTTCGGCCAGCCGAAGCTAATATACCCTTGTAGATTATAGAATGCTTACTCGGTGCAGTTCCAGGGATTCCAGATTCAGCGTTTCTATTTATTTAAATTTTGCTTTTAAGTAGTCAAGAATCAAAACGCCTACTTCCTACAAAGTTACAATGAATTTTCTTATAGGTTGTAGTAGTAGTAGTAGTAGTAGGTTGTTTATTGTTTGTGTTTTGTTTTTCTTTGTTGCTTATTTATAGCTGGCTGTACATATTTAAGGTTACATCAAAACAGATAAACAAACAAAAATTGGTTACAACGACAATGGCTTTTATGCCGTCAGTCGGATTAATTTAGTTAAATTAGGTTCTAAAATTGTTCTAAAATAATTTTTTTCCTGTAATTACTGGCTTTTGTAATGAAGAATGCCAGATTCTCCCAGTTTTCCCCATTTAGAAGACTGTGGAGATCGGATTCGCAAAGGGTGGTTTTCGTAAAACATGTAAAACGAATCTCTCTCAGAATAGGGCAGACTGCAATGAAGTGTTGAACATCCTCGATTTCTCGCATGTTGCAGAGGCTGCATTCCAGTGATGTGTTGCTGCTGTAAGGCCTGCCATTTAGAGGTAAAGTCTCGGTTCTAGCTTGGAAGATATGTTTTATGAGTTCTCCTTTATGTTGATCGTGGAAGTAGTTTTTTTCATATAAATTATGCTCAAGATTTCTATACACACTCCTGGACGCGCTGTTTTTGGCCTTAGTTATAAATGTTTCTCTTTCTATGTTGTGGTATTTGGAAATTATTTCGGCATGTGTCCTGCTCCACGAACTTGCATCCTCGAGATCAAGGGGGCAACCGCATTCGGTTGCAATATCCGTCCACCTAGAGAATAGAAGTTCTTTTCTTTCACAGAGAGATTTAGCAATTATTTTTGGTAGTCTATTATTTGGCATATGCATAACCTTATCGATGTAGTTAAAGTGCTGCTGAAGTGTGTAGGAGAATATACTAGGCAGTCCTGTTTCAATAAAGATTGCATAGTCGGGAGTATTTTGTGGCAGTCGAAATATCTTTTTTACAAAAAAAGTTAGTACTCGTTCCGCGTCTTCATATCTATGATTTCCCCACACCTCCGCTGCGTAGCACATAATGGTTTTCACTGTCGCCTGAAAAAGGCTGTACTTGGCACTCATTTTAACGTTTTTTCTGCCTAAAAAGTTTTTCCAGGTGGCGTTCATAGCTATTTTTGCATCCTTGAGCTTATCTTTTATGTGGGTATAAAAACTAATATTTGTGGTAAGCGTTACACCGAGGTATTTGAATGTTTTTACACGTTCCAGCTGGACTCCGTTCAGTTGCCATTCTTCGTTCCTAGCGTGACGGCCACCTGTACCCTTAACTACCATAATCTTTGATTTGCTTGTATTTATGGTGAGGTTCCATACTTTACAGTACTCGGATATGCTAGCAATCATGTCCCTTAACGTTTCAGGGCTATCAGCCAGTAGGCACATGTCATCGGCATACATAAGGGTCTTTACATGGGTTCCATTCACAGTCACTCCACCTGGTAAGAAATCCACAACATCGTCCACGAAGAGAGAGAAGAGGAGAGGGCTGAGAATGCAGCCTTGCTTAACTCCACTGTTGGTATCGAACCATTTTGAGAGCTCTGATCCGTCCCACACACTTGCTTTGTTATCCTCATAGATACTGGACAGTGCTAGTATCGCTTTTGTTGAGAGTCCGAGTTGGCTAAGTTTATACAGTAGGCTATTTCGGTTCACTGTATCAAAGGCGGCTTTAAAATCTACAAAGAAAATGTACAGCTTCTTTTTTTGTTGCAGAAAGGTTTGGGCGATTGATGTCAGAACGAAAACACTGTCAACTGTAGAGAAACCCTTTCGAAAACCTGTTTGAAATTCACTAAGAATGTTTTCTCGGTTTACCCATGTCGTCATACGTTTTAACAGTGCTCCTGCAAAAATCTTAGCGACTGTGTTTTGAGCAGATATGCCTCGGTAATTGCTGGGATCACTCTCCACACCTTTTTTAAAAATTGGGCTGATCAGACTTTTTTTGAAGCAATCCGGGAAAATTCCATGGCTGTAAAATTCGTTGTAGGCATCGGTAAGTCGCTGTATAAAGCAAAGCGGCGCGTTTTTGAAAAATTCTGCAGTTATTCGGTCTTCACCAGGAGCTTTGTTTAGCTTTAGTGCTAGGACAGCGCTTTCTATTTCTGCAAGGCTGAAAGGGGAGTCCATATGATCTGAGGAAAGCAGAGGCTTAGCGTAGCTGATTTCTGATTCATTTTGAATTTGGGAGAGTAGGCCACTAAAATAATCAGCCAAATCTGTTGCCCTTA